GATGATGAAAGAGGGTTTGTTTTCACTTTTAATATTTAAAATTGCAGGTACCTGGCGGCAGACATGAATGTTTGTAGATACGCTCCGTCGACTTGTGTCATCAAGAACCTGCCAAATGCAAGCGATTACGCCTACAAACAAAAAGACAAATTAATGGAGGAGAGACGTAAAAAAACGTCCAATTGGGAAAATCAGTAGTTTGCAGTTGATTACAACCACGACGAACACATTAATTTTAATTACTTTCCTTACTAAAATAATGTAGAAATCTGGGAATTGATGTTGGAGCTACAGAAAAAAATAAAGGAGAATATTGTTTGCAGCAAAGAAAGAAAAATTGTTTCTCCTCATGGTATTAGGGGAAGATTAAATGTTTTGCTTCATGAACGTCATTTACAAAAACGTCATTATGAAGGCAACGCACTGAGAATTTTATATTGATTTCTGATCTACGTGTGATATTTTAAAATAATTGCAAAAGTTAATTTTGCTGAGTTGCCCCAATATACCGGGTAATTGTGCCATGTCCTTGGGGAAGTACCAACCTTTTCAAATGCCATGAAGAAACAGACGATGCTTTCAGTTAACAGATGTATTTATTTATTCATGGTATTTTGTACGGTGTTTTAAGTATTTTAATGAATAGGCACAAATTATTATTACAAAACTAGGGACTTGAATTTAGTTATGATACATACAGAGTAAAAGAAAAATGTGACAGCTGTAATCAAATGGGAAACTCAAGGCATTTTTCCGAGATAACATCAAATACAGAATCAGCTCAACAGATCGTAAGCCGAGCCTGAAAGAAGACTTTAGACCGTCTAACTGCATGGTACCTGGGCAATACAGCACCAGAAAGTTCCATTAACCCAGACGTAGTTAACATAACACATTATTTATTCCCTCCCGAGCCCATTGTGGTACAAGACTGCAGCTTCATTAGAACATTCAATTCAATTCATTTCATTTATTTAAGTGCTTGACAACAGCCAAAAAGGCCAATAACAGCCAAACACTAAACCAGAGTACAGGATAAAATTTAATAAGTAATTAATTTATTTCAATAATAATAAAAGTAAAACAAACAATTGAAACTAAATATATAAATTACCATATTAATAATAATAATAATTCGATTCATTTATTGAATAATATAATGATATAACAGTCGTTTTACTTAAATTAAGTTGCATCCCATTAACAAGACACCAATTTTGCACTGAATAGATGTTGTCCTGTAACAGTTTGCAGTCATCAACATCGCTAATACTCCGATATATCTATAAGCCATCAGCAAATAATTCAATTCAATTCATTTATTTAAGTGCTTGACAACAGCCGAAACGGCCAATAACAGCCAAGCACTAACAACAATACAAATCTTACAATACAAATCTTACAATACTAAAACAAACAAACAATGAACTGAATATATAAAGTACAATATTAATTTATTGCAAAATAATAAGTAAATGAGCTAAATGTTATGGATAAGTAAATTAAAAATTAAATTAAAATCAGTTCAATTTTGGACAAACAACATACAAA